GCCGCCGGCTGGGAACAGAAGCCGCGCCGCGCGTTCCGCGCAGCAGCGTTCCGCCTGGCTCCGGCCGGGATCTGCTCCTCCGCCAAACAAACCCATCCAGGCCACCGACAGTCTCTCAGGGGTCTTTGTACCAGGATTTGTAGGCGCGTTTGAAGAGCACTGCCAGCAGGTCGAGAGAGGTGGTCCTGCCCCTCTACTCAGCCCTGGTGAGGCAACATCTGGAGTGCTGTGTCCGGTTCTGGGCTCCTCAGTACAAGAGAGACGTGGAGCTCCTGGAGCAGGTCCAGCAGAAACAAAGATGCTACAGTCCGGAGCATCTCTTTTATGAGGAAAGATGGAGGGAGCTGGACCTGTTCAGCCTTGAGAAGAGGTGACTGAGAGTGGACCTCATCAATGTCTATCAGTATCTAAGGGGTGGGTGCCAAGAGGATGGAGCCAGGCTCTTCTCAGTGGTGCCAAGCAGTAGGACAAGAGGCAACAGGCAGAAACTGATGCAGAGGAAGTTCCACCTGAGCATGAGGAAAAACTTCTTTCCTGTATGTGTGACCACACACTGGAGCAGATTGCCCAGAGAGGTTATGGAGTCTCCAAGAACCATCTGGATGCAATCCTGTGCAATGTGCTCTAGGATGACCCTGCTTGAGCTGGAAGGTTGGACCAGGCGATCCACCATGGTCCCTTCCAACCTGACTGATTCTGTGATTCTGTGAAACCAAGACTTGGGATGACCCTTCTGAAGGATTTAATGGTAGGAGATCCCCAAAGTCTTGGGGAAAGCTGCAGCTCTCATGGCTGAGCAAGAGCAGATAAGTGCAAGGGTTTCTGCTGGGGCCAAAGCACCTACCTTTAACAATTTTGTGGAGGGAAAAAAAAGATCTGTGTTTACTAAGTTCATGTCTCTCATTGGGTTGCTCCTGGTTTTTCCATCGCTAAATAATCACTAAATTGGCTCCAAATTAAGATACCAGTCCTGCCCCAGTGGTTCACCTATGTTGGTTTTCTAAGAGTGAAGTACATATTTTTTTTTATATTTAAGAAATGGATTTAATAGATTTACATTCCCATAAGAGTTGATTTTTGGGGTTTTTTTTTAGAGTCTTGTCTGCAGTACAGGTGAGGACAAACAAAATAAGTAGCAGTATCCAGAACTGTGCTGGCAGAGTATCTGAAGACCAAAGTTACCTCTCTGAATGACAGATGATCTTGTATTTCAGAGCATAAATTGCTTTAAGAAACGTAAAAGTAAATTCCTTTACAGACAGCTAATTCAAGTGTCTCTCACCTCTCTCTAAAGTTTGTGGTACTGAAAATATTAAGTATAAAACATAGGTTTCAGCCCATACAGTACTTTTGGTTGTGTGTGGCTGGTTCACAGCGATGTTTCAGCATCCAGCCATTTTCCAAGGAAGGTCAGGTGCCCAAGGAGTGTGATATACAAAAGCTCTAAATTCGCACTTTGCATCACAACCCTCCTTTGCTGTGAGCTGCTGCCTGGTAGTATCACATTGCCCCGGCTGAGACAATGTACCAAGACAATTCCCAGATTGGTTCATATTCAGTAACTAACTTTCTATAAGTCCATTGCACACCTCAACCATGAGTTATTTTTTTAAAAAATGGATAGAAGTGTTAAAAAGTTGTCCAAGAAACATACCATTTTCATCTCGGCATGTCGGTTTTATGGATTGCTGTTTTGGCATGAGATTCAAAGGGTAAGTATTTGCAGTTGGCTAATAAACAGGAAGAAAAGGCTCAGGGTACAGCATAACTCCATGGCAAGTGGTAGTTATGAAGAATATTAAGCAAAACAGAAAAAAATATTTTTTGAAAACAGAACCTGGAAGTACAATTCTTACACTACAAAGAAAAATTCTGCCAAAGACCTGTAGCAACAACATGAGCTTTTTATTTTCACCTCAAACTTGCATTATCCCTCATCTCTCTGCTTCCAGACCAGTCAGGTCTTCAATCTCCACACTTACTAGGAAGGTGACACAGTTCAAGAAGTTCTGGAATCCCGAAGGGAATGGGACTATCTATGCTAGTAATGAATTTGATGCAATGAAAACATACCAAAAGACTGAAATGTCTAGTGCTGAGGCTGCTCACCTCCAACTCAGGTAATCTGTTTTGCATTAGGTTAGGGCCAAACATCCTTCTGAAACATGGTTCAAAAGTGGCCCCTAAACCTTCACTTCATTAGTAGAACCTGCCCTGGAAAAGGCCAACACTGTCCTCTCACTTGCGGTTGACTGTGGTACATCAGTACACAACTCATTCTCACCTGGGTAACTGCAGAATGCATCTTACTTTTCCCCCATGTACAACCCCCATGTGGTACTGTCCTGCATGACCCACCTCTCCAAACAGTCTGAACAACATGCACTACAAGGAGCTGGGTGAGTTTTGATGGTCTTGTTTCTGCAGGTCTGGCTGCTATTCTGGAACAATACTTGCCAAGAATTGACATTCATCTTCTTGGGTAATGAGGATTTCTGTATGGATTAGGAAAGGCAAACTGGTTTACAGGGAGCAAATGGTTTATCTGTCATCAGCTAGAGATGGTGAAGGACCCAGAAGATAGACTTGGACTGGTGGTATCCCACAGGATGGAAAGAAACATACGTTGCAAGGAAACCCTTTCCTCTACTGTATCAGACAAGTTTCCACAGCATCTCCTTACAGCTTTTCATCTCCCAGAAGTTATGCATCTGTCCACTGCCAAAATACTCTCCTGAAGAGAAGTTGTGCCCCTCCATCGCACAGCGGACCATCACATCCCAAAGTCAATACACATACCTCAAGCCAGATCCCTTTAATCCCAGAAACCCACTTTTACATTCCTGCAAAGGACCTGCAAGCCAAACTCTCTGCACACGTCCCATTTCTGTCATGCTTAAATCCTTTGAGGTGAAGCATGAAGTTAAACTCCCCCTCAAATCAACAGATTGACATCTCATCTTAGGAGAGTGTCTCAGTAATTATGGCTGTTCTGCTATGGTTCCCCTGTACACACAAACTGCTGTTATTTCAGGGTACACAATTCCTAAATAAATCCCTCTTTAAAACCCAAAAGTCCTCCATGCCAGCCCAGTGCACGGACAAAAGTATGGTTTGGCTGAGTAGCCACGGGTGCAGGCAGCAGAAATAGCCACGTGGTGGCAATATGCTCATTGTAGTGCTGCATTCCATGGCTATAAAATCTCCCACGCCATTATTTCAAGCGCTGTCACCATCTCCATCTCTTGTACAGAGTCCAAACAAGAGCAGATGGGCCCCGGTGGTCTGCCCGAGGAATGTGGCTATGAAGAAGCATCCTGAAATACGCAAGGCCTGATGTTTTAGCTGGCAAATGGCAATGGCAGGCAGCACGTGGTTTAATGATGTATTAATCACAAGTTTCACTGCATTGGGAGTTAGATGGTTTTCACCGACTGGATCTTCCAACAATGCTGCCATCCTGCTAAAAAGGAAATCACCACACAGGTCAAAATTCTTTGCAACTAAACAGTAATCTCTTTAATATTGCGGGTTATTTGAGCTGTGCAACTAAATCACAATCACTAACTGGTTACCATAGACCCAGCAATTTTTTTTTTTACATTAAAGAAATAAAATAATTTATAATTCAATTTCTAAAGCCATTTATAACCTAGCTTGTTGTACCTTCACAATTGCCACACCTTGAATACTGAATCCAGCTCTGGGGTCACGAGCACAGGAAGGACATCAACCTGTAGGGAGCAAGTCCTGAGGAGGGTCACCAAGTTGGTTAGAGGGCAGAAGCACTTCTCCTACGAGGAGAGGCTGAGAGAATTGGGATATTCAGAATGGAAAAGAGGAGGCTTCAGGGTGACCCAATTGTGACCTTCGAGTACCTGAAGGGAGCCTACCAGAGAGACGGAAAGCAACTATTTAAAAAAGCATGTAGTGACAGGACAAGGGGGAATGGCTTCAAACTGAAAGACAGAAAGTTTAGATTAGATTTTAGGAAGAAATTCTTTACTCTGAGAGTGATGAGGCACTGGAACAAATTGCCAAAAGGAGCTGTGGATACCCCATCCCTAAGAGTGTTCAAAGCCAAGCTGGTTGGAGCTCTGATCAACTTGGTCTAGTGAAAGGTATCCCTGCCCACAGCAGGGGAGTTAGAACTAGATAATCCTTAAAGTCCCTTCCGCCCCAGGCCATTCTATGATTCTATGATAAACCATTTAAAGTAAATATTTCAAGAAAATAACCATATAGAAAAATCAAATCTGAACTCTACAATTAAATAAAAGTGATGGGGAAAAATAAACACTTAACTTTATGGTATTTATAATGCTTTTGCTTTGGTTTGGGCTTTGAAAGTAGGAGCCATCAGATTTATTTGGTGGAAAAAAATGGATCTAAGCTCAAATATGTAGGTCTGGGTATCCAATCCACACAAACATGTGTGCAGCTCAACAGGGATTACAGGCATATAGTGTTCCCAAGTATGACTGACCACTGATACACATGATGTACTGCTTTCAACTGGGCATTGTTTCTGACAAGCCTTATTGCAAGCACTTCAGTTAACTGCAACATTGTTTCTAAGTCTTATTGCAAGCACTTCAATTAACTGCAAATCAAAAGGGAAAAAAAAAGTGCTCTGTAGTTTCAGCTGAGGAAAGTGATATCAGTACTCATCACAGTGGTTTAGGCCACTATATATGCGACAGGATCATGAAAGTGACAGCTTAGGAGAGTGTCTCAGAGTCATAACACTAACTGCTGCTATTCCAGAGTACGCAATTCCTAAATAAATCCTTCTTTATAACAAAATTTAAAAGAAAACCCAAGCACCCAACCAAAAAAAAAGAAAAAAATACTATGGTTGTAATTCATAGATTCGGAAAAAATACTATGGTTGTAATTCATAGATTCGGCTGCATCCTGCTCAATGAGCTTAAACACCGCCCAGCCCCAGCTTAAACACAGCCCAACCCCGCCGCCCCCCCCGCCACTACCCCGGCCCGCGCCTTTCTCGGGCCGCGGCGGGGCCGCGCCGCCTCCATCGCCGCCTCCATATATATATATGGGGAGGGCAGCGGCGGCGGGACCGCTCTAGTGGGGGGACGGCGGCTCTGGTGAGTGACGGTGCCGGACGGAGGCAGCGGGTCGGCCGGGCTGGGGGTCCCCCCGGCTCGGGAGCCGGGCGGGCAGGCCTGGGATGCGCGGCGGGCGCGGGGTGGGGCCCCTCGGGAAGCGGCGGCGCGTGCGGCCGCCCGGGAGAGGCGCTGGGCCGGGGTCGGGCGGGCTCTGCTCCCCCGGGCCTCCGCAGAACGCAGGCCAGGGCGTCCTGCTCCGAATGGGCGGGTGTTGGCGGAACGGGAATCCTGAGCCTTCCTCCCCGAAAGGAGCCTGAGCTGCGGTGTGGCCCCTGCCCGGCCCGCCCGTGAGCACGTGTGACAGCCCGGCGCGGTGAGCCCGGTACCGCCCCGCTCTGCTGAGCTCTGCCGGCCTGCTGAGACCCTGGGGAGCGGAGTCACGGCCTGCCCGTGCGGGCTATGGCAAGAAGCAGGACTGCTTCTGGGTTTAGCTACTCAGTGTTTGGAGAAGGCATCAGCAGAGAGAAGCATCTAGGGCTGCGGGCGGAGGACCCAGCAGGACCTGTTACACTAACTAATGCTTCTGTTTTCAGGTTTGAGGCTTGGGTTCGATTTGGAAATAACAGAGCAGTTATTGCCTTGCTTTATCTACAAGCAGCTTTTAATCTATTAGTGTTATTACAAATAAGAAAAAATAGGTATGTACGTATATAATACTGATTTAGTTTTGACTAAGACTTAAATTCTCTGAAAGTGACACTGTGATGATATGGATCAGGCAACTAGACGTCCTTTGCTCTTAAAGTCCATGTTTTTATAGGCATATTTTTTTTTCCTTCTGCTGCCAAGTTTTCTATGGGTGATTTGGCATGTGCTTCCTTTAGGGACTGGCACAAGTCGATAAGCACTCAGCATGATGAAAGCAGTTGTTGCTCTCTAGTAATTCCCTTCATTCAAAGTCTGTCTCACTGATCTGTTGTTCTTTTCCTCTAAATTAGGTGCAAAACTGTGGAGTGCTGTGTGACACTAATGAGGTATATAGGATAACAAAGTGCAATTTGGCCTTGGAGTCTCCATTGTGAAATAACACCTAGCATGCTATGGTGTCAGTAGCAAAACAGTTCAAGTCTGAAGCCACAATTTGAAAACTGAATGTGTTAATGCCATTTATTACAAGAGTACTTATTTATTTTGTTTTAAATCCATTATGTTTAGATTTATGCAGCACATCTGAAACAGATTGGATGGATAAAGTCACTGAGTGACAGTATTTGGCCTACTGGAGTATATTTTAAGGTTCAGGAATAATAAATCTGTTTAGAGACAGGTTTTCTCTACAAGCCTTGCTTGTATTCAAGTATCTGTGCTTCTTGTACAACAGCTGTGTTTTATACAGTATGATTTTTTTATTATCCTTTCAATGTAGCCTACTGGAAGTTGTTTCCCATTCATATTACCCCAAAATATATTTTGAGAAGTAACAGGCTTCAAAGGAAGTACGGTAGGTAAAAGAGTGAAAATTGTTCTGTTTACTGATATACTGTGCTTGAAGCCAGGCTTAAAAGTCAATGAGGTGCTGATTCACGTGTGTATTTGTGTGGTAAATTTTAAGACTCCTGCAGCTTTTTGACAGCACTACCAGCCAAGTGTCTCACTCAGCAGCATGGTTCTGAAACAGTTGGAGCTCTTTTGTCCCAGATATATAAGCTTAACTGCTTGCCCAGTGTACCTTGCTGCAAATTTGAAAACTGAATTCATTTGAATGCTTTATTTCAAAGTGTCACCTTTGTATTTCTGCTTTCCAGCTGCCTTACTGAGAGATGAGTTGCAATTCTTATTTATAATATGCTGGTGTGTGGAACTTGCACTGGGAACATGACAGCCAGACACAATACAAGATGTTCATGTTCATTTCCATTCTACTCATCTTTTGAGAACCACTTAATGTACTTGTATCATCATGGATAGTTTTCTTACCTGCTCTTCACCATGAGGAGAGGAGATTCTCTGTTTTGTTTTATAGGTGAGGAGCTGAGACAGGGGTGAAATATTCCTGCCAGCTAGCCTTAGACACCTGATGTGAGACTATGCTTCTATAATCAATATAAAGGTAATGCTCAGCACTGTTCCCTGGATGTACTCTTTGCTTTCATTTGAGATATCCAGGGAAATTAGAAGCTGGAAAGCCCAAGAAAGATGAAGCTAGGTGTAATACTCCAGGAGACATGCTTAATGCAGCAAAATTGGTCAAAATACAAATATGCTAAGTCTCACTCCTGGGCACAAGAATTTCTGGCTTTAAATGGAAGAGCGGATGTGAAAGCATTCCTGTGATGCTTTTGCCTGTCGAATTATTGTAAATTGTGTATCTTTCTCTTCCCTCAGGAGACAACTATCTCCATACCTACGAGGAAACAGGAGACTTTGCTCTGAAGTAACCGGTAAACAAGTGTGAAGCATGAGGATTAACTCTGCTATTCAGGCTGCTATTGACCTCACAGCAGGAGCTGCAGGTAATGCTGGAGAGAGCTTAATTGCACAAAACTTCTGAGAGACAGTTTTAATGCCTTTAACAAATGTAAAAGCAGTGTCCTTTTGCTATAAAAAGCCTCACCTTCTGCACTTTAAGGATACAGAGGTGAAGCAGTGACCTTAGCCAGTGTTGTAACTGTATCACTATTGCTCTTCCCCAGTGAAACCCCTGCCACGCAGTAAAGGCATAACCCCTTATTTCAGACTAATCATCTTCTGTGAGGAGGTTTAAATTCTCCTGTTTACATGAGTTGAAGAATCAAGCAGAGTTTTGGAATGAAGTCAGTGCATGAGTGATTGAGGTGCTGCTTTTGTCACAGGAACCCTCTCTAATTGAAAGAGACAAGAAGCTATCTGAGGGGTTACTGGCTCAGACAGCATCCTCTAAATGCTGTGGAGCTCAGTAGTAGAACTGATGATGAATTCACTTAACTGACTTCCCTTTCAGTCTAGTCTGTGCCATAAAGTTTTACTGGACTAGTTATGTGGAAATGGTTGTATTGTCTCGCTGATATTGCCACATTGGTAATGTCTGTGGGATGTGGCTTTTAATTCTGTCAGGGAAAAGGGGTCTTTTTTGACATTTCTTAGCCAACAGTGTTTATACAGAAAAGGTGGAAGATTTGTCTAATTTACTGTTGTAACAAGTTGGACAATTTTATGGATTTTTTTCTTTCCCATACAATGACTATTACAGTCAGTCCTTTTATGACTCTGTTAATGCTGTGAATATGTCAGTATTAATGGTGCTGTGTTCACTGGTAGTTATTTGGGGTCATTTGTCAGAGTGGAGGTTAACAGTGCAATGAGAAAGCAAGGGGTGACAGATAGCACAAGTCCACTGTGGCAGTCTCTGCACCCTTTAGAAAATGTATCTAAGTAAGCAAACAGCTTGTTCCTCCAGCAAATTCATAACCTGGTTTTACCTTCCTCTCCAGATACTAGTCTTGACTATCTGTTAAGTAACGACACACTGGGGCAAGTAAATTCTGAACAAGAAAAAATAAGTCATTTAGCTCTCTGTGGGTCATAGTCCTTTGCCTAGGATCTAAGCAACGTCTGATTACTTCTTTGATTCAGTAGGACTCTTTTCTCATTATTGCCATGTTATAGAACCACACTTGTCTAAATGTTCAAACAGATTTGGCTTTTTTTGTTTTCTTATTTGTTTTTGTTTTGTAGTTGGGTTTTTTATGACTCTTTACTGCTGGCTGGAAGAATTATTTTTTTCTTTAGTATTTTAGATAATAACTAGGACCCTTGGTCTTTATCTTGAGGCTTACAAAGTTCTTTGCTGTAGTTCACCAGGCTTTTTGTACCACCTCCGATGACAGTCTTTTTGGAACACACATTCTCTGTCAACTCCCAATTTTTCAGCTTTACATTTCCAAGACCATTCCTGGTTTTCCTGGGTAGTAGCCATTATTTTATTACAGAAACCTAGCATTTGTCCTGTAAATTAATATCTACCTTCCCTGCAAATACCATTGGCTGAGCCTTTCCAGCTCTGCTTTTCATTTGAAGCTTACATGGATGTTACTGGTCTGATCCAGCTACTTTTCTTCTTGGTTATCCTTCCATAACAGGAAACTCTTTGTGCTTCCTTGCATGATTTGCTCTGAAGCTTTTAACCATCTGGTTGAGAATGAGGTTTTATGGCAGCTAGACTTGAATTTCTCCAAAAAGCCTGAAGTACCTCTTTGCAAAGGAGCAAGAATGTAACACAAATGTGTTTGCAGAGAGTAAAACGGATTGTAAATAACATTCCTTAAACAAACACTCTTCTCCCCACATAAAAGACACAGAACTAATCTTAATTGGATTCACACATTTGTTTCCATTTCAGTTACCTTGTTATCTCCATTTACAGATAATTTAAGGTATATGCATGTCAACCTTGCTTTGGTTAAAGATGAACTTCTGTTATAGGACGGTTCTCTCTTTCTATAAAAAGCAAAACCATAAAACCTATATAAGGCACACGTATCATGTGCTTCCTGGCAGGTGTCTGCTTCTAATAGATTGCTATCACTGTACACTGTTTCTTACTGAAAAAGTGTAACATTAGCTCTCTCTGCAGGCTACAGAATTGAGTTAGATCTTGTGGAGGGACACTGTATTGTGAGCGAAATGGTTACTGATGACGTTAATGGAAATATCTCACAAGTCTTCAGGGTATTGACCTTGCAGTTCAGTTTGGAAAAGATATCATGTTGAGAAACTTTGCCCTTTTGTCCTTTTTCAGCTTATACTCAACACTTTCTTCCAGTATGTGGAAATAAATGTACTTAAGAGCCATCTGGAGTTTTGAAGTAAAGGGTTTGAGTCTTTGGTTATCAACTTATTATATATGATCAGTTTAGCACTCTCAGCAGTGTTCCTTCTGCCCTGGAGGAAAAACTTGATTACTAATCTTTCAGGGGGTTTTTGTTTTTTATTATTGGAATGTAAAATCAGATGGTTTCTGAATCACATCATAAATAAGCAAAGGAAAATGCTACTCAACTCTTTGACACAAGTGACTTGATTGCAGAACAATACTTCTAATTCAGCACAAGTTTATACACGTGAGCTGATTCATTTAGATGCTTGCTTTTCATGAGGTAAAGAAATGTTTAATGATAATCGTGCTATTACTGCCCCTTCGCCTGATTTTTATTTCTTAGGGTAACTAAATTCACCACTGACAATTGATGCTATTGTGCTAAAATCAGTGCACTTTTTTTTTTCCTGCAGAGAATTAAATTTATCTTTGCTTTTTGTGTGATTTTGCTAATACTGGTGCTTGAGTATAGATGTCAAAGTTGTGATAACCTTCAGCCACCCTCTTAACTTCCACTGCTTGCTTAGGTGGGACAGCATGCGTGGTGACTGGCCAGCCCTTTGACACCGCAAAGGTGAAGATGCAGACGTTCCCCAACATGTACAAAGGACTTGTTGACTGTTTTGTGAAAACCTATAAGCAAGTGGGGTTTCGAGGCTTCTACAAGGGAACCACACCAGCCCTTCTAGCCAACATCGCAGAGAACTCTGTTCTGTTCATGTGCTATGGATTTTGCCAACAAATTGTGAGAAAAATTGTTGGAGTTGACAGGAAAACAAAGCTCAGGTTAGTAATAAAAATCTGGCTCGTGTTTTAAAATAAATAAATAAAAAATCATGCCATTGCTACTTGCCAATACTGTGTTGTCAGGGTGCAAGTGATGTTCCACGCCTTTCTCTGCCAGTATAAAGTGGAATATAGACCTTTATGTGATGATATGGTGTCTAAATATAATAGAGCCACCTACTAACCAGTCACTGTAGCTGTCTGGTTTAGATAATCACAACTTATCTGGAGTATTCAAGACCTGGAACATTTTTATCAATGGAACTGAGCATTGCAACACCTTGATGTTTAGGTTGTTCTGATTTTGAAGGGGAGCTAGTGTTTCTTCTTACAGGGAGGCATACTAAAGGGAAAGGACAGTTTTCTAATATTGCCTTGTTTTTAAAAATTATTTCTTTAAGTTTCAAAAGCTTGAATGTAATGGTGGTTAGATGAAAGGTCTCATTTAGAACAGTGTATTGTCTACTACACTGGCAAAAAGTGATTGTCTAAAGAATAAGAAAGAAGTGTTTAATACTTACTGAGTCCTCTGCCAAGTTTGTTCTTAGTTCAGAGGATTTCTTGACTCTGGTTTGATCCAGTCACTGACTTTGGATCTTTTGAAGACTTGTTCAGTCTCCTCTTGATTCTTCTAATTATCTTGCCTCTGAAGTACACTTTGGCAGGGAGCCCTGCAGACGATAGTCAGTAACTCCGTAACTGTTGATCCTTAGCCACTGGGATTTTGTAGATCTCTATCCATTGCTCCATGCCCCTCTTCCCCACCTGAATCTTTTCTTATATGGGAGAATTGCAGCCCTCCTAATCAATGAGCACTCTGAAGCTGTTCCTTTAGCTGTCATCGCTGTCTTTCTCTGAAACTTCTGTAATTCTAATGTGTCTGGGGATTTAGCTTATGAGACCAGAGTTGTGCAGAGTATTCAAGATGTGAACAGGTTGTGGATTTATGCACTGGCACAATGATTATGATCTTCTAGCTAGGATGGCTGTTCTCCAGGTGCATCACTTTAGAGCTGTCAGTGGCCCAGCAGTCTCAGTGTGCCTTACTGTTATGCATTTCTTAAGGTATGTCTTCTGTGCAGCACTAAGATTAGCTGCACCTTCTCCATCCTTGTGCTGTGCCACAGGGTGCAAAAGACTTCTCTTACTGTCCTAACTCCATTCATTCAAAGGGTAATGCAAGGCTAACCACATTGAGCTTTGTATTAATAGCTTTGTTCTGCCTCTGTCATATGTGTCTCCAGTGGAAGTAGCAGGGCGTGATTCTGCATTTGAGATCTCTGACATGATATGGGTAGCTTCCTAAGTGCAAGACAATTATCTAAAAGTGACATTAAGTGAGGTATTCTCCTGCCACACTAAGACATGCTGTATCTTAAAACTGAGGCCTTCTGTGAGGGGAATATGAAGTGAAGAAACAAATCATATTATCTCTACTTGCATTATTTTTCACTGTTTTCTGACAGTTAAGACCCTTCAGCTGAGACAAGACTGTTTTCACCTTTCCTTATTGCTTTCTTAAATCAGAGGGTTTCTGCTTGCTCAGCTTACAGATTCCTTACCTTTTCCTATCCACTAAAATGTTGGCGGTAGGCCTACCAGCATGTTTCACTTCTTAACCTTCCTTTATGATCATCCTAGGAGGTAGACCACAGATGTGCAGAGGTCCTAGGATCATCTCATGTGACTGAGACAGCATGTTTATGCTGTGTGCAATGGAGGTAGTGCAGGAAACTTTGAACCGTACATTGGTGTACTACTGTCCTTGGAGTCAGATACAGAATGGAAATGTAATTTGAGTATGTAACAATATCAAGTGCATTTGGCATCTGATCCTTCTTTCCTTGGTCAGATAATGGTGCTTTTCAGATCCAGGGTGGCTGCTTAATGTCTTGTTGATTCAAGATCAAATAGCGTGAGTGTACAGCTGCCACTGCTATATCTGATTATGTCATGAGCTTTGCTTCATGTCACAACTTCAGTTTCATGATGCTTCTTTCTGCAAGGTGAAAAATTGTAGCTTTAATCTCTGATACTATAGATGTATCAAACTGCTGGACACAGGGCAAACATCTCCCTTGTATGGAAAGAATTTCTGTGCTGCAATGAGGTTGGTCTCAGCTGTGCCGACTCCCCAGGTTCTGAAAGAAGAGAGAAGCTCCACTTCTATGCTATTGTGCAGCTCCTGTCTAACACATCAGAATCTGAAGGAGCCTGTTTAAAATGCATCATAAATCAGTATGACCCTCAAATACCTACCTTTTGAGTCCTGGCAGTTTAGCAACCCCAGAATTCGTGGTATGTGTAAAATCACCACAAAGTAAGCCCTAGTTTTGGAATACTGTGAGTCATTGCAGATGACAGTGCTGTCTTGTTCAGTGTTGTAGTTTATGCTTGTCTGTG